TATAATTAATGGATAATCCCGTATACAATTCGGTTCCAAGTGATTCGTCTGCATCATCAAATACCAAATCGCTATAGAATGCTATTATATATACTGCATGAAACGGTACGAGCCGCATGTGATAGAAATGATAGTGGCGATTGCAGAATACGTGCCTGCGTTCCGGAGAAGCCGCGAGGGCGATGCATGCGTAATTAATGAAACCAATAAAGCCGTTCGCACCCGTGGAAATTCGTTAAATTTAATTGGACGCGTATAATCCCACGATCGAACGAGAAACCGCGTGAAAAGAAGGGGGAAGCCAGTCCGCGGGCAACGGGGGAGGGGGAGGGTGGAGGAGATGGGGAGAGGGGGCACCAGGTGGATTCTAAAACGCAACAGGAGAGATGTCCGAGTCGCGATATCCAATTCCACGATTCATCGAGAACAAACGTCGTCGCTCAAGGATTCGAGAATCGTTAAAAACGGAGAGAATTAATATCACCGTTTTTTGAAAAGTAAAATATCGAATCAAATGTTTCCGAGAAATTCATGGTTATTGGCGAGTGATTCTGAAAAAAAATCTCACAACTATTCAAATCATTTTTAGAAACATATTTTAATCTTTTAAGAGTCTATTTTTTTAATTTTACAGCCTTTTCCTTGGTAATTGTAATTTATTATACTTCATAATATTTTTTCTTGCCTCACAAAATATATATTGCACTGTCTTTCCTATAAATATTAAACTTTAAAAATACAATTTTACTGAAGACTGCACGAAAGAATAATTTTGCTATTTAAAAATTTAGTTAGATAGACAGATCTAAAAATAATTTTGTTTGAACCAGCAAAATAATTATGTAGGATGTTCAAACTTTTGACAACAATATATTGTCCTTAATGATCAAGATTCTATTATTTTAATTATTTTGAGAGTTCAATAAATTTATTTTCAGATTTGTATCTAGCTAAGTTTTTAAATATTTCAATAAAACTATTCTTTTCATGTATTTTGTATTTTTGTAGATGTATTTTCGGGATATAGCATATCCTAAATATATCGAATAAATATAAAAATAAAAAATGATAATTCAAACACGTTAGAATCAGAACGTAATTTTCACTTTTCAACGAGGATCAACGAGGACATTCACAAATTCAACGATGGTAAAAAGCACCATCCTACAGCCATCTGTTAGACCGATGAGGAACTCGCTGCAGTTAGTCGCCTCGAAAATTCGCGGCGATATTTAGGTGCGTCGATGAACATGCATTTCGCGTACGCATTGCGACAATAACTGCTAACTCGGTGCATGAATATTGATAGATGTTAATGCACGACACGCTCATTGGCGTCACGAAGACTGAGCTCGCGCATTTTTTTTTTTACTTAACGCAGGGAACGGATGTGATTTTAAATACGCCAATGTACGATTCGATCGAGGACACGATGTATCGCTATTAATCTGGCTAACGAGTAACAACGTTTCGTTTTGCCAGTCGCATCGCAGAGCTCCGCTTCGCGTTATCCTCAGGCCGGCAGTCGTCACCGGGAATTCGGCCGACACTGAAATATCGCATTTCCAACTAAATCTGGTCGAATCTAATTTTACGGGACCCATGTGCATTAGCGGATTAATGCACTCCATTCCTGGCGGACCAAGTGATGAGCTGTATTTGCATGACATTATACTTGCGTTCCGCTCCCGTTCTCCCCGTCAATCCATCCTCTCGTTCCGCCCCTTCAATCCTGTCTCTAATTATACGTGTAGCACCACTATCGGCCCTCTTGCACAGGTGATAATCATATTACTATCCTATCAACGTTATTGCCATTCCTGAACGCATACCACGATCGCACTATTTGAAGTGCTTGGACTAATGCGGATCGATCGGCCACCAAGAGGGCCCCCGAGTATGCCCTCTCGCAGTTCATTCGAGGGAGAACGAGAGACCAAGGAGGAGATTAGACAATGGCTTTGTATTTGTCAATTGACAATTAGCGGAGGATCTAATGGAATTGTGTTGTACACAATAAATTCCTAACGTACATTCCCGGTACGTTACCGGGAAAAGGAGCAATGCCCTGCACGAGACATCTCTGCGATTTATTTAATATATTTAACGTGAAGAATCTATGCCATGAATTATATTAGGTCATTTAAAAAGTATCCGCGGTTTTTTGTTCAATTTTTGAATGAAAAAACCGCCGATACTTTTTAAATGACTCAATATTATTGTATAATTTCATTTCATGTCATTTTAACAGGATAGTTTTTTCATGAAAAATTAGATAAAAAAATCTCTGTCAAGTTAACATTCACACCATTGAAAATCAGAATATTGGGGATGCTGACTTGACAAAGAGAGGTTTAAAAAATTGCCATGTTTCACTAGTCTAAATTCTATTTCGTCGAAACTTTTTTTTTAATCCATCGAGATATTCCGCCTTATTACGAGTTTTTATTGTTTTCCTCGCATAAAATACAGATAGGTACGTCTCAGACAGAGCGCAAACAGAATAGGAATAAATAACGCTTAAAACGACGAACGAACTTCATAGAACTTCATGGAAGTTGCCGAAAGTAGAACACGGAGCTATCGGGCGAACTTGCGAGCAACGAAGAAAAAAAGAGCAAGGTATTATGAGCTCGAGTAATCCTGCTCCAGCGAGGCACAAATTTACGCGAAAAAATAAAAAAGATATTAAGTTATTGCAGAGCTGCAGAAGCAACGATATTTTGTGAGAGCGTGTAATATCTTCATTTTTATACTTGAAAAATATTGAATTAATATTACCAGATTAAAATGAAGATAATTTTTTTATTTCATCAAACAGACCAAGAGATAAATCTTTTAGACTTTTTATCTGTAAGAAAGGAATCGATTTCCGAAATGTCTAATTTAGATAGATACAGATCTGAAAATAATTTTATTGGAATATAATCAAAATAATTACACAAAAAATTCAAACAAGAATAATGCTGCGAAAAAATTTTGACAATCAGCTCGACTGTTCTACATAATTATTGTGATGGTCCAACAATATTATTTTTAGATTTGTATCTACATTTTTAAATATTTTAGCAAGACCATTCTATTCGAAAAGAGATTCTAAAAGATATTATTTTTTAAATCTAATCGTTAAACGTCTGCTAATAACTGGAACCTTCAAAGACACTATTGATGTATTGGTTGTGAGGGAATTATAATAAATTTAAATCTGTAAAAAATAATTAAAATACAATCCGATTTCTATAATAATAAAATTTTCTATAATAATAAAATCGCACACTATGAGAGAACTTGCTATTTAAAGAGAAGTTAAAGACAAAACGAAAGGGATACTCCGCACGTTATCAAACATCGCGCGCGTTTTCCGTTATCAAAACATAGGCAATATCTCGCTGTATCAACACACGGCGGCAAATCACGGGATGGGATATCGGCGCCAACGGCAATTTTGAAACTGCACGCGGAAAGAGCGTAATTTTTAGTGTCGGTAATTAGAGTGGAGGCACAGAGAAGTGATCGTCGTACTCTGTAATTCTTTGTACAAACATACACTCTGGGCGGCGCCTGCACTCAGGTGTCCCTCATTGCACACATGCATATATATATATATATACACACACATATATATATATATATATATATACGCACGCGATATGCAAATCCGCAGATAATGCGCATCGCAGGTGATCGTCGGTGGCGCGCGTAATACGTGCGTAACCCGCGCATTTTTCTAATGAGATCTTTTTATAATTAAAGGATAAGGCCGAGTGAACGGCGTGAATATCTTAACGCTCTTTTATCAGCGCAATTCCTATCAGCGTAATTCGGCGAGGCCCCGCGCGTATGTTACGGGAGTTTTAAATAACCCTCCATTCCCTATCATTAGTTCATTATTAACGATGACAGCACCGTGATATCTAACTAACGCTCCGAGTCTCCGTGATTATATTATCGCGATTATTTCGTTCGCGAACTTTCCGTACTTTGCTTTGACGCCGCGTTTCTTCCTCCCGACGCGCGTTTCGATTTCTTTCACAGATAAATAGAGTGATTAATCACAAGATTGAGTCTAATCAACGTTATCTTATCAATGTTATCTTATCGTTCATGCGCGCCCGGATGTAGTTTGCTGTTCCTTTGTACTGCTTCTATGCGAGATTTAATTATATATTGTGGAATGTAAATTGAAACGGGGTTACTGAGAAGGATGTACAATCTAATCTATCTGTGTTTGAAATCAAGTAATCTGTAATAAATGAAATCAAGAGACGCCAAAAAATATCCGTTTAAATAAATATTATCTTTTAATTAGCTTTTAATCGATAGCTTGTTCGACAATCTTTTTCTCTGATTGCAAGGGAAAATGACGTAGCTTTGGGAATAAAATCCGTAACAAAAATCTTTTCTGATATAATCTCGCCGAATTACGTTGATAGAAATTGCGCTAATAAATATATAAATAATCCTAGGATTCAGTTCGTCAAATAATTTTTCAATTCTATAAAAAATATTTTTCAACGAATTTTTATTTAAAAAAATACACTTAGAAAATCGAAATTCAGATTTGTTCATTAAATTGCAAAATAAAAAAAGAGAGATTTCCAAGAATGTTAATTTTGAAATCTTCGAAAAAGCTTTCAGATTTCAAAGGATTAATATTATCACATAAGTATAATTTAATTAAAATTTATAAATAATTATATAACATAATTGTAATTTTTGTAAACTTATGGTTTAAAATATTATTACGTATATTATTAATAAAATGATCAATATTCAAACAGTATACATGATTCAAATTTTTAGCAATTTAATCCTTGAATGATCATAATGATCCCCAAGCAATAATTAATTTCACTTAATTCTCTTATCCTATCTATTTTAATTTATTTAATAATTTATTTTAATTCATTCTATTTATTCGCTATAAATCTCGCGTCGAGAAATTCTTACATAATAGATAAGTACTTAAAATAGATATATTTTGCATCATTGAGACTCACCATTTCTTGACTGGACATCGGAAGACATCAGCTCTCCTCGATCGTCATTAACACTCGCCACCCACTGCGCTGGTCGTCTTGGCAGACATCTTGGATATCCAAAATCGTTACTCCATTGGGGACACTATAAACACTTTTTACCACACACTTTTTTCACTTTATGCTTTCAACATGCACTTTTCGTCACTTTTCAACACTTTTATTACATATCGAAACACTTCACGCACACGGCTATTTAGGATATATCTACAAACTTACATAGTCGCATTTCTCTCATAATAAAATATAACTGGATAATTTTCTTTATGCATACGTTTATACGGCTATGCAAGTTGTGTGGATATGCCATTACGCGACTCACGAAACGCTGGCATTCCACGCCAACCGTCCCATTTCGCGACGGTTTGAATTCCACTCGCGACGATTTTCACACGGCATCCTGAGATCCTTCGAACCATCCCCGACTCGATTCTTGATCGCCTGATCTTTCTGTCGACGAACTACTTTGTCGATCACCGATTGAAATCAATTATTAATTACCGAACGCAGCAAATACGATACGACGCGACGCGACGCCGAAAACAATTTCCGATCTACTGCAGTCTACCAACTGTCTAATAGTAAAATTATTTGCATCGGTCTGAACCGATACGCGCTAAGTACACGAAATCACATAATTATTAGAAAATCGAATCTAAAAGTATCTTGATCGATAAAACTCCTGAGATTGATGTTATCACGTTTCTTGGCAGAATAAATAATGTAATGACTGTTCCGATCGTAGTGTCGATATTACGTATTCTCACGGTGTTTAATGTGTAGCAATCTTCAGGGCGTAATCACGCGAAGTAGCGCGCGCGACCGATCCGTTACAATAACAAAGTCACAAATAACAACGCGAATGATAAACATTCGGGTCGGAAAATATCGCGGCACGATTTGTTTTTCCACGTAGTGATAACGATCGCTTCGCTTCTCGGAACGCTGATCTTTCCGACAGCAATCTCGAGTTTGAATTTTCGTAACGAATATCCGAGCAAGCTTGCTCTCGGCAAGTTGCATTATAGGTGCGTTCTGTTTAACGTATGATACGCATGATGTATCATTTTATTTTTCTTTAAAATTCAATGAACAACAAGAATAAAACGATATATTATGATATGATATATCTACATATATCACATAAATTCAGGGGCCTTATCCTCTCGAAAAATATTGTATATGACAATACTAGAAAAATATACAATATATGTAACGTATAATATTTTCGTACATTTTTATATGCGATTTCGAGAATATGGCCCCAGGTATAATGATATATCTGGATTCGATTACAGTGATTTAGTATTTGAATTATATTAACCTCCAGGCGGCCGGACTTTTTTTTATCTGAAAAAATGCACTTTTACTAAATATTCTCATATAAGTGCAGCCTAATGATCAACTGATGTGTCGGTCATAGGGTGATACCATAGATGCCAGGCCGGCCGTCAACAATTCTAAAAAATTTTTTTCTTTTTAAATCAGAAAATATGGGTACCTGGGTTCTCGAGGTTGCTAAAAACTTTTCTGATCATCCTAGGTTCTGAAAAACCTCATATAAATCATAAATCAACGTTTATGCACCTAATTTTTCAATATTGCATAGTTAAATTTGATAAAATATTAGGTCATTTAAAAAGTATCCGCGGTTTTTGGTTTAATTTTTGAATGAAAAAACCGCGGATACTTTTTAAATGACCCAATATATATATTATATTTAAATATTATATATTTTATACAATCAAAATTGATGACACCATATGGTGTCATCTCAACCGCTTAGATGTTAAGGAAGTTGTATTATACAAGACTATCAAAATGTTCTCAAATTATTCATCAAGAGATTTTATTATTATATAAAACTGTTGAAGATGGCTTGAATTAAGCCGAAACGTATTTGTTATACAATATTGAAAAATATATGTTTAATCGCTTCAATTACTGCGAATTTAGGCTCTTAATTGCTCGTTTTTTAATTTATTGTTTAATATATAATATATATCTGGTCTTCTTAATTAACTGAAATTTAATTCCGGAAAAAGATTTTATTTTCTTGATTTATTTTTTCGTTCGACTTGTGATTGATTATATCAACTAACAAAAATCAACAAGATGTCACTCTTTTAAAATTCCAACGAATACGATTTCCGTTTCGGATAGCATTAGATCTCAAAATAAGCAAATATTTCTTTGTACATTCACACGATTTTATTTTCAAAGATCGACCTGTCCAGTCCGGTTCTATATTCAGGCTTTCCATTCTTTTTTTTTTTTTTAAAGAATGGAAAGCCTAAGTATAGAATTGGACCGGAACTGAGCTGTCTGGAAGATATCTAAAAATACAAAGATGATTATGAACAATAATGACACCTTTAGAAAATCTATCCGAATTGGACATATATATGAAAGAAAAGATCCTGTGAATGCCATATAAAAGAAGAATATTGACTGTCCGAGGGGTAAAAAAGATGAAGGCATTGTCAAGCCATTGGCATGCTGCCCTGGATTTGCTTTTGCACACGGATTGTTAATAGTTAACATTGTACTATCTGTACGTAATCCTGTTCATAATCCTTCCTTAGTTTAAGCCTTGGAAGAAGCCTTCATGAAGGATTCCTCGATTCTCCAATGCCTTCTTGTGTCGAATAAACGGATCTCAAGTCTGCCTTCCCGAAGGAAATTTTAGAGATTTTAGTAATCTCTAAGTTGAGAGCAGCATGTCATATATATACTATATATACTATTTATTCTATTAGGTGTACAAATAAGTTTCCGCCGTTTGACAAAAGATGGCGCCACTAGCAAGCTATGGTTAAAATATTATACTTTTAGCTTAAAATATCAAGTAAGGTAGAGCTTTAGATTTATAAAAGTGTAACGCTGCCTATTAAAATTTTGCACCTATGTTGGAACGTAAGTACCTGCTCAGTGCCTCGTAATGGATATGGCAACTTTCTACTTCTATTCGAGCAGAACAACAAATCAAATCATTTTAAAACCATCCTGACGTCGTTTTGATATTACGATGACTATATTGTGTTCACGGATACTATTTCGAGATTCGAATCGATTTGACTATCCATTTACAGGTTTCGTGCTCATTTACAGACGTTTCGTGTATTAGTTTGAAGAGATTTTAGCGATATGTATAATTAAAATGGTTAATTAAAATAAAAACAATAAAAAATAATATAATATATTATAGGACCGTACATATGTGATAACACAAACTATAGAAACCAAAGCCTTAAACGGTTTATACAAGAATCATACAAGCATTTAAGATCCAGCTAGATCATTTAAAGCTTTGATTTCTATAGTTTACATAAAAAATGATTGCCTTTTCATTTTTATGTCAACTTATTCTCCTATTTTCAAGTACACGAATCACGTTTTCACCTTTGCGAACGATACTATTTGTCTGTGCAAATCGATCAGCCGTTCGATGGATGGTTTAAAAGGTGGTAATAACCACGAACAACAACAAACATTATGAACTTTACACATCTTCGACAAAATACAGCGTATATACCAATAATCTTATTTCGGTCTCGACGTGTTTAACTAACTGTAGCGATGCCCAAACACTGATTTCAAATTTTATCGTCCGTTTATATAGTTGTAAACTTCAATAGAAGTCAATAGAAGTCAATAAGTCTCCGATCTGTAATTCAAATCGATATTGTACTTTGTACTACGCATTTAATAAATGTGACAACAAAATTAATATTTACTCTTTAATGTTTGTTAAAAATATTTGAACTTGAATTATTCAGACGGTCTATAATTTTTATTATACTTTGCATCAATTTTAATAAAACGTCAAAATTTAGAAATTTCTTAAAATAATATTTTATTATACAAAATTATTGAAGTAGAATGTCAACATGTGTGCAAAGAAATTCATTTTAAAACTGTTCTAAAATAATCTCGACATTATAGTTTAAATATACAACAGTATAATAATTGAAGCTGTTAATAAAAATTAAAATGTCACGATTAAAGCAAAGAAATAAAATAAAGATAGAAGAATTTCGTACTACGTTTTTTTTTATGTATCAGTAATTACATGTATTGGAATAAGCTTGCCGAAAGTAAAAATAAATCGTATATAAAATGAATTAGGTCATATATTATATCATATAAATCTTTCTCTAAAGTAATAATTTTTTTTCGGTATAATAACTTTATGTCTTTTATCGAAGTTGAAGATATATTATCTTTCGTACGGGTATTCCGATGTGCGGCGAAATTACGAGGTACCAGCATAGATCTTCCGCGAGCGTAATTGTTCGTGATATTAAATCCGCGGCAAATTAATCAAACAAGTAACCAGAGCGTGGCTAATGCGGGCCGAGCGCCAAATGCTGTTTCTAACATAATCGAATTTGCACTGTGTCTCGCGCTGAGAGAATTTCAAAATGTATCTCCGCCGTGTCGATGCAAATAACTGATCGCGCTAATCACACAGTTCGTTCTCGTTATTATATTGCTCGCAAATTCCGCCATCGCATCGAAGCATATATCAGAGCAAAAGCAAATAAGCATGAAGATAGCTTTGTGCCTAATTCGTTCAATCATCGTATAGCCTCGTTCGTCAGCCTCGAGTATTCAACATTGTATATTCATTTACAAAATATCTATGCATTCCGAGTTACGCATGAAGTGCATAATATATCATTTTATCTTTATTATTCGATGAACAACAGAGACAGAAAAGTTGCAATGCACTTCATGCGTTACTCGGCATCCTGAATCAGAATCTTTCAATTCAGGCACCGTCATACTGTGTGCCCCAAATCCGCTTGGAATCCCAACACTTCTCCTTTTGGTGATCCTCAGGAAGAATCTGACAAACGTCAGGATGATGACAAACTGGTCATCTTTGTTATGTACCTTTAAACAAGGACATAAAAATTTTGTCACATGATGGCTGCAACAATCTAAATTTAAACATTGCTTTGTCAGACTCTCCCTTGAGAGTCTCTATTCATGCACAGTTTCTGACATCCACGCATCGCCAACTTTGAAAATATAATTTCGAGAAAAACGCGTTTAAGGTTGCTTTGCGATATTTCATTAGTCGAAAATATCAAATTTACCTTTGCAATGCCTGGGCTATATAACTGTCCTTCTACATTGATGTTTATCTTATCTTCTTCTTTTCTATTTGTTCTGAATGATTTTCTTTTATACCTTACGAATTCAGGTACTCCGAATTCCTTCGAATTATTTGATACTATAAACACTTCACTATACTGTCTCGAAACTTGATTTAAAAATGTGAATTTTTAATTTTAACTATTAGAACTTTAGATTATTTTTGAGACTATAAAATTTTTAAGACTATATCATTTAAGGTAAAAAAAAAATTCAATTTTTTGAAGCCTCCAAACTGATCCCTGCTTACTAAAATTCTAGTATATTTATTCAGGATATTTTGAATGTTGATTATTTCAACTAGAATTCTAGTAGGTTTAACTAGAAAATAATTCCAGTTAATATTGAAACATTTTTCTCCGTGTAAGAGCTTTATTCTCGAAAAATATCGTATATGAAAATAGGGAAATTTATAAATATAAGTATTATATACTATAGAACCATCATATTTTCGT